CGTGCTCTTCCACTTCCCAGAACTCCACTCCCGGGCCACATTTTGAATGCCCGGAGCCAACTGTACGCCACTTCGTGCTCTTCCACTTCCCAGACTTCCAAGACTCATCATCTTCATCATCATCATCGTCCCCGTAGCCTTCTTGGCTACAGCCCTGCTTTCGAAGATTTCCTTTCAAAGGAACTGCGCAGCGCCTACTGCACACCTTAATGCCAGGACATGCTGATAGTTCTCGGTCTGGCGGCGGTGCTCCTGACCCTGCTGCATTGAACAGCGGTGCTCCTCAGCCTGCGGCAGGGAACAGCGCTGCTCCTCAGCGTGCTGCATTGAGCGGTCCTCTGCAAACGCTCGTCGAGCACGCGAAGCAGTTCGGCCGGATACCGAAGCGAAATAAAGGAACGCCCGAACAAGAACGGGCCGAAAACAAGTTGGCCAAACGTTTCTCGGACCATCGCGACCGCATCCCCAAAGACATTTTGCAAGGCATGCGGGCCCTGGGCTGCGCTGATCAGCAGACGGAGACCGAGGAGCTCAAGCGGAAGCAGAAGACCGAGGAGCTCACGCAGCAAAAGCGAGACAAGAACGAGGAGCTCATGCAGCAAGCGCGAGACCTCGGCCGCCACCCGAAGGAGCACGCCGGGCGTAGCCTCGCAGAGCGGCAGCTGGCAGAGAAAGTCCGGAAATCACGGAAGGCCAACCAATTCTCCCCGGAGCAGGACGCCGAGCTCCAGGCCTTCAAGCAAGCGGAGAGCGAAGCCACCACAAAGACTCGCATCGCGGAGGCGGAGGGCCTTCCAAACCCCATGGAAGGGTTCGCTGAGGAGGCGCAGAACAGGATCGACCAGGACCCGCCGACGCTCGAGAGCGGCATCCGGACCAAGGCAATCCTGCGGCGCCTTGCCGCCTACAAGGAGCTTGTGTCCAGCCTCTCTGCGCAACGCGCGGAATTCGCGCAGCGGTACGCGGAGCGGGTGCGCAAGGCGTCGGCTCGCCCAGACGCCAGACTGTGGGCCGCGACGAAGCGAGCGCCGCTCTCCAAACGCTTTTGCACTACCACCATGGCGAGACTGCCCCAAGCGCTGTTGACATCACCGATGGCTCAGCGTTTGACTGGCTTCAATGGGTGGCACAGATCGAGGGCGCGCGCGACGTCATCCGGAATGGCGCCCACAGGGTCTACGTTGTCCGCTGGAATCCGCACTGGGCCCCAGAGGGCGTCTTCTGCTACGGCAACAACACGTACAGCACACTGGTGCCTCGCAACGCGCGATACAATGGCTCATGGAGCCACACGCGCATTGTGAATCACCGACAGGCCACTTGGGTGACCGAGCCGTTGCTCTCTGCGGCCCCTGTGGCAGCTACGCCGTGGCTGTTGTTGCGGGATCAGGTGACCTGGGAGTGATCTCTGGCAAACAAAATGTGGTGCTTCTCAGCCTGCGTTCATGTGACACGCAATACCGTGGCATGCACTCGCGTAGTGCTTCTCAGCCTGCACTCGCGCGGTGCTTCTCAGCCTGCGCCTCCTCGGTACTTGCCAGCCGCCGGATTGGCGCGATTTCCTGCAATACAAGCGGGAGAAGTGAAGTATCCGAGCCCGCGTGTCCACGGTGCTTCTCGGCGTGCGTACTTGTAATCCTAGTTCCAGCAGTAGTAGGACTGCGCGGCCGCGGTGCTTCTCAGCCTCCGAGTTTCTGCGGTGCTTCTCAGCCTGCAAGTTTTGCCGACTGTCCGCTTCACACGCCGCTCCTCAGTGCGCTCCTCTTCCGTTTGCGAGATGTCTTCCAAGATTTGGTTGGAGGCCGAGAAAGACGGACAGAACAAATCCAAGTAGCGCGGTCATCATCCCATCATCCTCCTCAATCATCATCATCATCATCAATGGCTTCGCCGAGCACCCCGGTGGAGACTCAGGTCTTACGGGTCCGTGCCCATACTACTACTACTACTACTACTACTACTACTACTACTACTACTACTACTACTACTACTACTACTACTACTACTACTACTACTACTACTACTACTACTACTACTACTACTACTACTACTACTACTACTACTACTACTACTACTACTACTACTACTACTAACTACTACTACTACTACTACTACTACTACTACTACTACTACTACTACTACTACTACTACTACTACTACTACTACTACTACTACTACTACTACTACTACTACTACTACTACTACTACTACTACTACTACTACTACTACTACTACTACTACTACTACTACTACGACATCACACTAAATCCATTCATGGGAGTGCCTGTTTTGGAGCTACACTCATTGATGCAAGTGTGTCGTTTGAGGCTCAACCCGTTGATAGCAGTGTCTCGTTTGGAATCACATCCGTTGATAGCAGTGTCTTGTTTAGACCTCAATGCATTTATACAAAGATCTCATTTGGAGATACCGTTATCGAAAGCAGTGTTTCTACTGCTACTACCACTGCTCCCATCACTCCTACTCGTTCACTCCACACACTACAACTACTACTTCACTGTTACCACTACTACCATCACTACTAGTTATACTGCTACTACTACTGATACTATTACTGCTGCTGCTGCTGTTGTTGCTGCTGCTAGTGTAGCTATTGCTACTGCAACTACTGGCAGTGCCACTGCGACTGCCGCTGATGTTGCCACTGCGACTGCCACTGCGAATCCGACTGCGACTGCGAGAACACCAGAATTCTACAACAGCACTCTTACATGAATACCACAGGCAATGTTTCCAGCTATGCTTCTACACATCGCTGTTAGGTTGCTTTGCGGGGATAATTTTTCATTGCCCAAGGTGGATACAGCCACCTGCGCTAGAGACGTTTACAACGGGGAGCAGCACGTCGCATTTTGCACCGAATTCCATCTTAAACTTCAATGCGGGAAGCTACGCTTGACCTTTGTTCTTTTTACCTAACAGCGAAGACTGATAGGTTTCTAATGGGGTCAAAAGGGAGCATCTGATGACTCCCCAGGGGGGTCTGGGCGGGAGCCGGACAGGCGAGGGCCAGGCTCGTTTTAAGCAAACAGTCACACACTTCGTGCTCTTCGACCTCCCAGAACTCCATTCCCGGGCCACATTTTGAATGCCCGGAGCCAACTGTAGGCCACTTCGTGCTCTTCGACTTCCCAGAACTCCATTCCCGGGCCACATTTTGGATGCCCGGAGCCAACTGTAGGCCACTTCGTGCTCTTCGGCTTCCCAGAACTCCATTCCCGGGCCACATTTTGGATGCCCGGAGCCAACTGTAGGCCACTTCGTGCTCTTCGATTTCCCAGAACTCCATTCCCGGGCCACATTTTGGATGCCCGGAGCCAACTGTAGCCACTTCGTGTTCTTCGAGTTCCCAGAACTCATTCCTGGGCCACATTTTGAATGCTGAGGCAGGCTGATGTTGAGCATGAGGCAGGCTGAGGCTGAGGCCGAGGCTGAAGGCAGACTGAGGCTGAGGCTGAGGCTGAGAGGCTGAGGCTGTGGCTGAGGCAGGCTGAGGCTGAGGCTGAGGCAGGCTGATGCTGAGGCAGGCTGAGGCTGAGGCTGAGGCTGATGCAGGCTGCGGCTGAGGCAGGCTGAGGCTGAGGCCGAGGCTGAAGGCAGACTGAGGCTGAGGCTGAAGCAGGCTGAGGCTGAGGCTGAGGCAGGCTGAGGCTGAGGCTGAGGCAGGCTGATGCTGAGGCAGGCTGAGGCTGAGGCTGAGGCTGATGCAGGCTGAGGCTGAGGCAGGCTGAGGCTGAGGCCGAGGCTGAAGGCAGACTGAGGCTGAGGCTGAAGCAGGCTGAGGCTGAGGCTGAGGCTGAGGCTGAGGCTGAGGCAGGCTGAGGCTGAGGCAGGCTGAGGCTGAGGCTGAGGCTGAGGCTGCAGGCTGAGGCTGCAGGCTGAGGCTGAGGCTGAGGCTTGAGGCAGGCTGAAGGCAGACTGAGGCTGAGGCTGAGGCTGAGGCTGAGGCTGAAGCTGAGGCTGAGGCTGAGGCTGATGCTGAGGCAGGCTGAGGCTGAGGGCTGAGGCTGAGCAGGCTGATGCTGAGGCAGGCGAGGCTGAGAGGCTGACGGCAGACTGAGGCTGAGGCTGAAGCAGGCTGAGGCTGAGGCAGGCAGGCTGAGGCTGAGGCTGAGGCAGGCTGAGGCAGGCTGAGGCTGAGGCTGAGGCTGAGGCAGGCTGAGGCTGAGGCAGGCTGAGGCTGAGGCCGAGGCTGAAGGCAGACTGAGGCTGAGGCTGAAGGCAGGCTGAGGCTGAGGCTGAGGCTGAGGCAGGCTGATGCTGAGGCAGGCTGAGGCTGAGGCTGAGGCTGATGCAGGCTGAGGCTGAGGCAGGCTGAGGCTGAGGCCGAGGCTGAAGGCAGACTGAGGCTGAGGCTGAAGCAGGCTGAGGCTGAGGCTGAGGCAGGCTGAGGCTGAGGCTGAGGCAGGCTGATGCTGAGGCAGGCTGAGGCTGAGGCTGAGGCTGATGCAGGCTGAGGCTGAGGCAGGCTGAGGCTGAGGCCGAGGCTGAAGGCAGACTGAGGCTGAGGCTGAAGCAGCTGAGGCTGAGGCTGAGGCAGGCTGAGGCTGAGGCTGGCAGGCTGAGGCTGAGGCAGGCTGAGGCAGGCTGAGGCTGAGGAGGCCGAGGCTGCAGGCAGACTGAGGCTGAGGCTGAAGCAGGCTGAGGCTGAGGCTGAGGCAGGCTGAGGCTGAGGCTGAGGCTGAGGCTGATGCTGAGGCAGGCTGAGGCTGAGGCTGAGGCTGATGCTGGCCACTGCGACTGTCATCGCGAATGCAACTACGACTGCGAGAACAGCAGAATTCCACAACTGGATTCTCATCTGTATCTTAAGGGGAATGCTTCCAGATGCTCCTACACATCGCTGTTAGGTTGCTTTGCCGGGATAATTTTAAGACGGCCGCGCAACTGCATACTTCCACCCGTCCCTGACTTACCAACTCCCCTGCTGATCGTTTCTGGATAGACTGCTGGGGATTCGCGAAGATTCAAAACTTGTTCGATGAGTTCCGCCTCCGCAGGGCCCCGCGCAGAGCCGCCTTGGAGCCTCTTGGGGCCACTCTGGCGCTGCCACAGGGCCTCTTGGGCTGGCCGCCCTGGGGCCCTGCTCGGCCGCCTGGGGCAGCTCCTTAAAACTCCATGAGGCCGCACTGGTGGTCTCTTGGCGCCCTCTTCAGATATGATGGCACCTCTGATTGGACCTGAAAACAAACGACACCACCCCTGCGGCCCCAGGGGGCTTAGCGTATACCAAGAAATTTGGCGTGGGTTTTTGCGTGGTATGCGCTGCGGCGCCCGATGGGCCGTAGCACAACATGTAGGACCGCAGGTGGGGTAGCGTCGTTTGTTTGTTAGTCGACTTATGGCCTCCTGGACCAAAAACTGCCGCCAAGTACGCCGCCCCGACTCTGGCATAATATAGCGCCCCCCAGCCTGCGAGCCGCGGCCCCTGACCCAGGCCAGAGGGGGGGGGAACCAACCTCTGCTGGTCGTTTCTGGTTGCCTTCGCAATGCCAGGCCACGTCGCAATGCAAAGGTGACAATGGAGGCCTCGTAAATGGGGTCGGAAGATCGCGCCGCATCGCCGATACATCGGCGATGAATCGGCGATGCACCGGCGGTGCATCGTCGACGTGGGCGATGCATCGGCAACGTCGACGCGAAGCAAATCAGGCTCCACATCGAGCCGCATCGGCGATGCATCGGCGATGCGGCGCGATCCTCCGACCCCGTCTAGCCCGACCCCGCCTGGGAGGCTTCGAAACAAGGAACCGGAGCAGGAGGACAGCAGGCGAGACCACGGGGAGGTGCCGCGTCCCCCCCGGGGCCTGGCCCCCCCACGCACTGCCGGGGGGGACGGCCCGGCGCTCGGCCGACGGGCCACGCAGGGCGGCCAAACGCCGCCTGGCGAGTACGCCCCGGGCTGGCCAGCGTCGGAGGAGGAGGAGGAGGAGGAGGAGGAGGAGAAGGGGGAGGAGGTGGAGGAGGAGGAGGAGGAGGAGGAGGGGGAGGGGAGGGAGGAGGAGGAGGAGGAGGAGGAGAGGAGGAGGAGGAGGAGGAGGATGGAGAAGGAGGAGGAGGAGGAGGGAGGAGGAGGAGGAGGAGGAGGAGGGAGGAGGAGGGAGGAGGAGGAGGAGGAGGAGGAGGGGGAGGAAGTTCTGGCACGCCTCACCGTGGCGCCCGATCGCTAACCCGGTAAAAAAGACGCTGCCCCCCCTCACATCACCTGCACATCACTTGATAACAACAGCTGACATATCACTAACCGTAGTGCAGCTTCGGCTCAAGAGCTAAGCCCAAGCTGACCAGCGCGCCCCTGGCGCACCCATTGCCAAGCGCAGCACACCATGAAGACTCATCTGGATCTACATCCTCAGCGGCTTACTACACCTCAACAAGATCAAGACGAAGACATCTGGATACCGGCAGACGTCTTTGCCAAGCTACCGAAGTTTATCGACTTCAACGAAGTCAAGCTCCACTGAACCAACGGAGTTAAGGACCTAGACTACGCCAACCAACGACGAGTTGCAGCTATCAGCGCAGCTCCCCGCAAGACGCGGAGCGAGGCTCCGCAAGAGTGCCAACAAGAAGGAATGCCCGCACTTATGTCCTACAGCAAGGGCTACGACAACAAGAAGGCGCTCATCTACACTCTTGGAGACCCCGGAGCAGAACCACAAGTAGCTACCACTTGCACAGGCGTTGTCACGCCATCGCAAAAAGTCAACACGTCCGACACCCTCACGCGCAACCCCACGTACGTCTACGTCGACCTGGGTTACATCCACGCCCCCGCGGCAATGAAGTGCGGTTTCGTTCGCACCACGTATCGGCATCACATTACCATCGCCTACCTCGCCGCAACTGGGGAATGCTGGAAGGACAAAATCAAGAAGAGCTGGGTCACCGTGTTTGACAGCTTCATGGTCTATCCCAACAACAGGATGTGGACCGACACAAACCATTGGATTGACCGACCTGATAAATGCCCGCATTGCCGCTCCGCCACAAAGTATCGCACACCAGAAGACGCCGGTAACGACCACGACCCCAAGAACATACCCGTCCACAACATGGCGTGGCACGACATCCAAAAGCTGGCAAGTACTGACCCACCACTGCTACAAGCACCACCATGGAATAACAAGGACGAGGAGCCTTTTTCACGAACCTTCAGACCCTATACATTTTCAAAAAGAAGGACATGGAGAAGCGCCACACTTTCGAAGAGATAAAACGCAAAACCATCCACAACAACATCGAGCGATACAGGTCGATGGTATAAATCGTGGCGGTCACCGACATCTACGGCACCTTGCAACCTACCTCCGAAATTGGTATACAAGCCGCATATGCAAGAGACATCGTGGAAACCCGCGGAGGAAGAGCACTACGTCCATACACGGGCAACTACATCCTCCCTATCGATCGCCACCACATTACTCCACAAACAATGGGTGGACTACATTGTGACGAGACGGACCTCACAGACAGGAGACAGGCACCGATGTGCGCCACAGGGGGCGGCCCTCTAAGAGCTCGGCGGGGGCGCCGGAGCGCCGAAACTCTGATGTCGCAGTTCATGTTTACTTCACGATCTCGAGTATGTACTATTGGCCCCCTTGTTACAATCCTTCCCATGAATTTGAACGTGCAGCGTCGTAAAAGGCAGGGGCGCGCTTGCCACACATACGTTTGCGCGAAACCCATCACCTCAGCCATAGTTTGTGTAATTTGTACATCATGTCCAAAAACCCGTGTGTCTTGCTCAGCGGGTATCCAATCCCAGTGTGAAGTTTGTCGCATACACTCCGCCAGAGACAATGTGGATGCATGAACCCATAACGCTGCGCCACTCCAACCTTCGATAATATTGTGCGGCTTGGATTGGGAAATGTCGATTGCATTCCACAATTTGGTTCTCAAACGTATCCAGCACCAGACCTATGTAACAAATCGATTTGTCTGAATACTCGAGATTAGACCGCCAATTGTGGCCTCCGCTTCCTTGACTGCTTCATCTTCTCTAGATACGTGACTCGCCTCACAAGCAGGGGCGCCGTCCCGACCAATTGCACCACTGCTGGCATTATCACGAGCGCTTGGCATGACAAGTGTCTGCTCTACCATATTTTCCTCAAACACAACCTTGGGAACTTCGACAACCTTCTGGACGTACTCAAAAATGGTACCTCAACATACCAAGTTGTCCCTTGCATTGCTACAACAGGCTCCATTGGAACCGGGCGCTGACAGTATTGATTGGACTGCACTTCTGCACGCAAAGTGTGGGACTCGTTTTCGCCCAGCCGGCGGATTATATCAAACTGGTCATTCAATATCGCGTCAAGCTTTTCTACGATCATTTCTGCGAACTTTCTACGTTCCCGTCGCGGGTCCGGTCTGTATTGCCATCGCCTTACCAAGCACACATCTTTGTTGCTCGATGTTTCACTCTATTGTTTTGTGGCCCATGCCATGGCGCAGATGCAATGAATGAAGGGGATGTTTGTTGACTGCTTGGGGCTTGAGCCTCACTTGAGCCTTCCTTGGACTTGAGCCTTGAGACGGACAACAGAGGACAGCGAGTACCAGTATATCTCTTGCCATCAACGGGACATCGCATTCCTATCAGCATGGACGGGCACATACCGAACGCCACTACTACCTACAAAGGAGATCGACCACGTGACGATCCTAAAGCTGAGCGCACCCATCAGCGACCTTCTCAAATGAACCGCCATCATCGACAACGTCCTCATCGAATACCCAGCTCAGGTGCTGCAGGAGATCACCATTACTTCGGAGACACGCACAACAAGAATCGACGCGGAACCACCAACGTCCACCCTGAGGCCACCAAGCGGGAGATCATAGTCCACCAAGTCGAGTTCACCCAACACGAAGATGCACTAACTGAGATAAGACAGCGACCTGACTACGAAACACCAGAATACAAGCAACCTACCGACATCCTACTTGGCGGCATCATACCGATAAAGGTCACCGACATCGACAACCTACCCGAGCAAGATGCACACAAAGCAAGGCAATACCTCATCGATGACGAGGAGAGCCACAGTACACGTCACCTGCTTCAACACTACCAAAAACTACGCAACGCAAGCGTTCAGCCCATCAGCTGGACCCAGAGCTACTTCCCCGAGTGGCACACGGCTTTTTCAGAAGCTCGACCACAACAAGCACAACGGCCAGCTCGCACTACTCCCACAAATAGCGAACTACAGCTCATCCAGCGAAGATCTACACCACAGGTCCGACAAACCATCCCACTACCTATGCCGATCGTCTTCCAGCTCATATACAACCAGAACGCGCCCCGACACCGAACCAGCCGCCACCGCCGCCTGGCCCTCCCCCGGGCAGAGCCCCCACACAAATCACTACAACGACGCCAAGGACCAACCGATACTTCCGCAGCCCATGCGCCCCACCAATTTACAAGCAAGGTGACACGCTACGACCTGACCCATCTCACCACGCTAAACTGCCGCCAGGCTGGACCGCGCACGCTGACGTGACAAGAAGCTGGATCATCGTCGTCGTCGTCGCCGTCATCATTCTCAGTATCACCATGACCACTACCACCACCATCATCATCACCACCATCATCATCATCATCATCATCATCATCATCATCATCATCATCATCATCATCATCGTCGTCGTCGTCGTCGTCATCATCATCATCATCCTCACCATCATCATCAGCATCAGTGGCACAAAAGATTTCTTTGAAGAGTGGGCGTTGGTGGGCAGGGCTTGGCAGGAGTTATGGAGCTGCGAGGAGGTTGCCAATACTTTCCTGAAAGTTGATGCGAAGCTGCTGGAGGTGTCACTCATGAGGGAGGACCAGCTGTGGGACAAACTTGCACCCAAAGCCAAGGAGACGGAGGAGCCGGAGGGAGAGGTTCGTGTGCGACTTGCTGGATGCGCAGGGCGACGTTTGCGGCCTGTGCGTTGACTCCTTGAAGAAGCTGGTGGTGCATATGACGAAGGCCCGCGGCGGGTCTCACGGCGTTCTGTGCCCGCTTAGATGCTGCGCGTTTGCGAACCAATGCCTGAACTTTGGCAGTCTGGTTGCTTCAAAAGATAATGCAAAACAACACGTGCAAGCTTCATGGAGTCTCGGGAGATGTCGGCCTCGTGGGAGCCATCAAGCATGGGAGTTGTAGGTTCCTTCGGAGATAATATTTAAAATATGTGGGCTCGAGTTTGACTGCTTAACTGAATATTACACACACGCTCGTGAAGAACACTTGCCGCGCCCCGCTCCGCGCATTGTGGAGCGTCACCTTTTTCGCCATGCCCGCGCTGCTGGCGGCCGTCGACGACAAGAAGGATGGCGCTCCAGACCAACGCCGCGTCAAGCCACGCCAGGATGGAGGCAAGGACAAGAAGCTCAAAAACGTCAGCGATCAAGGGCTTCGTCGGTTCCTGCTGGTGATGGTCAAGCAGCTCTTGAGGGTTGCCCAGGGCATGCGCGAACTCGGAGGATGCCTATTCGACACTTTTCTCTGCCCGTCGGACGGGGTCGAGGCTCTGAAGATGGCGGAACAGACACACTACTACGCGGAGGCGGTGAAGAAGGACGGGAAAGGTTACCCTCACGGAGCTCCCTACATATGGGCGTTCGCGGGCTTGATCGTGGGCCTACACGGTCGAGGCGAGCCGGTGGGAGCACAGAACGGGAAGCACCTCAACGAGATGATGGAGTGGCTCAACGACCACAACGTGGAGGACAAGATGGAGACGATACGAATGTGCCGTCTGGACAAGACGTACGACAAAGAGAAAAAACGGATCACCTTTGTGCTACGAGACGATCGTTGGCGCCAGACGGTGATCGCGGCCTGCGTTCAGGTGGGGATGGAGCGCAAGCAGGGCAAGGCTCCAGCGTCTTTCATGGAGCGCGAGCTTCAGGAGTACGTTGCACAGCTGGTGTCGTGAGAGCTCGACAAGCTAGAGTACCTGCCCGACAATGTTACTTGGGCATGGATTTGTGTGAGCCTGCTGGTGTACCTGAGAGTGTACGCGAGCCTGCTGCTGATGTACCTGAATTTGTACGTAAGACTGCTGCCGTACCTGTGCGGGTTCGTGAGCCTGCTGCTGCACCTGTGGCGCTACGTGCGCCTGCAGCTGCAGGCCACCTTGCAGTTGCTCTGCCTGTCGGCACCCCCGCCGTTGTGCAGAGTGTTTCGCCTGAGAATAGCTCTGTCTCCTCCCCTCCCTCGACCTCGAGGCCCACTGAGACTCTTCCTGACCAGCGTCGCGCCGCGTCTCGCTGTGGCTCCTCGGTCCTCGCCTCTTCCTTGTCCTCCTCCAATGCGTTGGGAACCCAGGGGAGTTCGGTGCACTCCGCGACTGTTGCGGAAGCCCCGAGGATACCCACGACTCCCGAGGCTTTGTTGATTTCTCTTGGGATCGAGCGGGGCAGCCCCCGCTGGAACACTCTGATACATAGTGATAGATTGCGCTCGATGTTGAAACGCACGAGGCTCTGATATCGTTTTCTCCAGTCGGCCGTAACTCTCGAGTCGGTCGGCGGGGCCAGCCGTGGCCCACGGTCGGCCTTAGGTGCGGCCCCCTCGCCCTGCGTTCTTCGCTGGTCGTCTGGGTCGAAGTTACCGCACGCCGCCTCTTCTTAAAGTCATTGTATATCAGAGTGATGAGTCACGATTCCTCGGCAGACGTTTCGCAGGAGCAACCTTCTCACAAAGACAAGACACACACAGGGGTCCACGGCGCTGAATGAAGAAAATCATCGGTATCATCATTATCATCCGTCTCATCATCAACATCATCAGCAGAAGCATGGGCGTCATCAGCAGCAGCATTAGCATCAACATCATCATCCACAACCATCCTCCTCTGCATCATCATCATCATCATCATCATCATCACCATCATCATCATCATCATCATCATCATCATCACCACCACCACCACCACCACCACCACCACCATCATCATCATCATCATCATCAACAATCATCATCATAATCACCATCATCGTCATCAATATCATCAGTATCCTCGTCCTTATCATCATCATCACCACCACCACCATCATCATCATCATCATCATCACCATCACCATCATCAGCATCATCACCATCATCATCAGCATCATCATCATCACCACGCCGCGCGCCTGGGTCGCGGGCGCGCCAACGCCTTCGCCGGCGTCGCTGGCGCGGCAACGCCGCATGAACCTACCGTAGACGGCCGAATAAGGCCATCAAGACCTGCTTGCCCAAGAGAGCCGCCAAGGCCTCCAAGAGGGAGCCAACAAGCACACCAGAGGCACCCAAGAAAGGCCCGAAATTGAGGTCAGTATGTGGTTGCATGATTTCCCGCGTTCTCATATTCCTACAACCAGAAAGCGACCCCACATGCCTCCAAGATAGCTCCAAGCTAGCCCCAAGGTGGCCACGCGACGGGCCAAAAAGGGCTCCAAGACGCCCCCAAGGTGGCCCCAAGATGGCCCAAGAGACTCCCGAGACGGCCCCACGGCGTCCCAAGGGGGCCCCAGCACGTCCCTCTCTGTCTCCTCTCTCTCCCCCAGAGTTCCCCAGAGGATTCTACAACGGCTGGGAGAACACGTAGTCCGATACCTTGGCCAGACTGTGGTCCCAATGTTTTGACATATTGGCGTTTCCAAAGGCAGGAGGCGGCGGTTGTTGGCCGTAGGCGTCTCCTGTAGTTTTCAAGGGGTCTGGACCCACGAGCTCTGGGAATCCTCGGGCGGTGGTCACATCAGGTTCTGCCGCCTGAGGTATGGAGCATTCAGGCTCTGCGCCAATGTCCTCCGACGCTCTGGATGTGGCACGAGCAGCCACGAGCAAAGCAGTATCTTGAAGCGGCTCTCTCCTGGCATCGGAGGCGAGGTGGTCGCCACAGCCCCGAGCCACTTCAGGAAAAAGATATTCCCCGCGTGGCGCGACTGCCCATCGCTGACCTCGTGAAACTGCGCCCACTGCATCGACAGCAAGGGGCATAAAATGACCAGTTCAACAAGCGTGATGCCCACGCTCCACACGTCCATGCTTGGTTTCAGAACCACGCTCCCGCCTTCGACTACGAAACGGGCAAATTCGGGCGCACAGTACAAAGGCGAGAACGAGATATGACTGCTCAGCTTTACTTCTGTGCCTGCAGGCAAGCAGCTATCCATGTCGATGAGTTTCCATCGCCCGCCGCACATCATTATGTTATCTGGTTTGACATCGAGATGCACGTAGCCTTTCGCGTGCAACCAAGCCACGGCCAGCACAATCTCTTTGGCGATCTTGCGCACAATGTCGCTGGACAGCGGGGTCTTCGTCTCGCTCCTCTGCCGCAACATGTCCCTCAAGGTGCAGTCAGCCAACTCAGTCACGATGTACATGCGGCCGTCCTCTGGGTCAGGGGCTGGCTCCCCGCTGGCATCCTTGAGCATCGTTTATCCGACCCCCATCCCCAGCGGCGTGGCCTGGGCTCCACTGGCCGATTTACCCCCCATAGATGGGGATATAGGCCGTTCCCTTCGGGTATCGAGGGGTCTGATGGGGATGGGGGTCGGTTAAACGATACCGGATCCTTGGAGAAACCCAGGAGCCTCAAGAAGAGGTCAGCGGGATCGGTGCGGGCCAGCTCTTCGCACCACAGCGCGTCGTCGACTGGCTTCTCCAGAGGCCTGTGCACCTCCTGAAGCACTTCGACCTGCCGTCTGAACTTGGCGAGCGTAGAAGAGACTCCCCCCCTGGATCGGGGGCGGCCAAGAGGGGGGTGTCCAAGAGGAGGGGGTGCAAATCATGACCGGCGGCATGTGCGCGGCCCACGGGGGAGCCAGGGACGTAACAAGAAGAGGCGCCATGAAATCTGGGGAGATCTCATGGACCCCGCCATGATATCCACCCCCCCTAATCATCACCCCCCTCTTGGCCGCCCCCGAATGGAGGGCTTGTACACCTTGATCGCCACGGCCTCGCCGGTCTCAACGTTGCTTCCGAGATAGCATACACTCGAAGTGCCCTCGCCCAACCGAGTGCTGTCCCCATCCGCGAGGGCAAACTTGCCAAAGATACTGTCCCCAGACTGCGCGGATACCAACGAGGAGCTCGAGGTCATGACCTGAGCTGCCGTGCTCGCTGGAGAATGCACTGTTGCATTGAAGCTAGATGCCAAAGAAGAGAATGGCACAGTGCTCTGCGTCGAGACCCCTGGATTCGTGGAGGTAGTTTTGCTGCGTGGTTCAAGCTTGACGTGGATCCTGTTGGACTCGCTCGCCAAGATCGCCTTGGATTCACTGCACCCCATGTCGCCCAAGCTCGCGCCCGGTGGCTCGTCCACCAAAAATGTGGTCGCAGACGCGGGGTGGCGGGCCCACAACCCACCCAGAGTCAAACCAAACGGCTTCAAGGAACGTGTAGGGTCCGTTTTGGACTTTCCTTAGGTCGGGCCTGTTCCCCTACAGGGGGATATTGGGCGAAAAATTCAAAAATAGTCAAAAAAATACTCTACTCAAAACTAGTCGAAAAATCGTCCCCAGACTAACTATTTTTTTACTATTTTTGAATATTCCTCCTGTCAACGGACAGGCCCGACTTAAGACTACCTCGGTATCGCTCCGAGGCATCTGGGGCGTGGCCCCCATTGGGCCGCCGAGGGTGCGCAGGGCTGCAGGTCCGCTCCGTGGGCAGCGAGTCTGAGATTCGGTCCACGCATGTCATTGCCCTAGTAAACCCACCACCGTGCCTTATGCACCGAATGGGAGTGTCCTCAGGTCGCTTGGAATCCTACGGGGTGCTGACCCCCAATTGACGCGATTTCCGGCCGCTGCTGAGCGTTTACGGTCGTTCATTTCTTTCCCCGTGTGACGTTTCCACGGGTCATGGGAACGTGGTGGGAGGCCTCATACCCCAAGGTGTCCGTGCTGGAGCCCTCTTCAGGGCATCCTGGGCTGCACTGAGGCCATGAGGGCGGGCCCAAGAGACCAGCAAAAGTGAAACGCAAAAGGTCTCTACGTGAATTGACCATTATCTGTTGTTCAATCCTGGGAGCGTCCAAGACGGCCCAACCCAAGAGATGTTGCTTCACTGCGCGAATCGATTCTCTTGAAAGACGAGCACCCCATGGGCCCGCAGAAACGGCGGGAGCTCTTTTTTGTTAGAAATGTCCCTCCGTCTTCGAACCACCGGACCACCAGATCACTTCGGAAACGTCCAACTGAACTGACGCCACCCCTGAGATGGCAGTGGCAGTGGGGAGGGTTCTGCACGGGTCCTGAGAGCGTCACCCGATGAACTACAATAAGCGAGGCGCCGGCTCGAGACGTCCCCACAACTTACACAATAACGAGCCTCCCTCTCGAGACTTCCTTGCAATAATAACGGCAGTAACTGCTCCAGGAACCGTCCGGATGCTGTCCAGGTGCTGCTAGGACCCACCATAGGAGAGGAGATGTGTTTAACATGCGTGCGTTAAACCTCTGAAGCGAGCCTGAGTATGAATGTGACATCTTCGAAACAAACGCATGGAAACAAATCCCGTGAGAGATTGGGCACCATCAAGAATGTGGGTGTCTGCACATCTTATCATCCTATTCCTACCTCCTTTCCCTGCTCATCATCCCCATCTCCATACTGATCGTCTTCTCTGAGAATTAATCTAGTTACATGCTTTATTGTCCTTCTGATCGCCCTGCTCCCTTGTGCTGCTTCTGCTGCTCCTCATCATCCTTCTCCCTCATCCTCATCCTACCCCTGCTCCTCATCTGTCTTCCCTTTCTTTCGAAGGGGCCGCTATGTCCCTTCCTTCGTGCTTCATTGCGAAAAGATACATGTCCCTCGGCCAAGCTAGCGGCCTCCTAGATGGGGTCGGAGTAGATGGGGTCGGAGGATCGCGCCGCATCGCCGATGCATCGGCGACGTCGACGTGAAGCAAATCGGGCTTCACATCGAGCCGCATCGTCGATGCGTCGGCGATGCGGCGCGATCCTCCGACCCCATCTACTCGGATCCCATCTAGGAGGCCTAGATTCATGGCAACAGGATACCTGTCCCTCAGCCGAGCAACTCGCCCGATGCATCCGGATGCAGCCTGGGCCTAGGGCCTGGCGTCCCGAGCCCTGCGGCTATGGCACGGGGCCCGGGGCCCGGCGGCCAGGGCCTGGGGTCTGGGCTGGGGTACGGGCATGAATAAGGTAGGTTCGTGCGTCGTCGGCGCGCGCAAAGGGCTTTGACACCGCGTCGATCGTTCAACCTTGAACCGATCGCGGCCGCGATCGTTCAAGGCTGAATTCAGTCGGGTCCAGTGGCGTTACCGTGCACCTAGGTGCTTCCGCGTCGCAGAATTCAACCTTGAACACCTTCGCCAGCGTCGCCGGCGCGCCAACGCCGCATGAACCTACTCACCGTAGTCCTCCACAGTGCGTTTGAAACGGAAGCGCGCGGCGCAAAGCCAAGAGCCCCATGTTGCAAACGGACCGCCCTCCATCCGCGCAACTGTTGGAAATGACAAGCTCCAAGACTGCAAACTGAATGAAAGATCAGGCAAAACGTCTGGCCCCCCCTGACGCCACGCCTGGTGGTACGGCCAGGAGGAGTGGCTGTTACTTATCCGGCACAGGGATGGAGGAAAGGGAGGAAGGGGAAGAGGAGGAGGAAGAAGAGGAAGGAAGAGGAGGAGATGAGGAGGAGGAGAGGGAAGAGGACGAATAGGAGGAGAAGGGAGGAGAAGGGAGGAAGGGGGAGGGGGGGAGGCGGGGAGCGAGGAGGAAGGGAAAGAAAAGAGAGGGCACGCGGAGGAGGAGGCACAGGAATGAGGAGGAAGGAAGGGGCAAACGGGCAGGAGGACAGGAGGCGCGGCCGCAGCATGGCCTGCTCCTCCTCCGACAAGATCTTGCCCAGCTTTTTGTTTGATCACCTGCCCGCCAAGCGCTTCCTCCTCTTCCTACTCCGTTTTCAACATACTGCTGCTGTTGCTGCTGCTGCTGCTGCTGCTGCTGCTGCTGCTCCTCGTCCTGATGTTGCTGGTGCTGCTGGCTCTGGGACCGTCCAACGGCACAGCCATCACCCATGCATCCTTCTCCTCCTCCTCCTCCTCCTCCTCGTCCTCCTCCCTCCTCCTCCTCCCTCCTCCTCGTCTCCTCCTCCTCCCTCCTCCTCCTCCTCCTCCTCCTCCTCCTCTCCTCCTCCTCCTCCTCCTCCTCCTTTTCCTCCTCTCCCTCCTCCTCCTCCTCCTCTCCTCCTCCTCCTCCTCCTCCTCGTCCGCCTCCTCCCTCCTCCTCCTCCTCCTCCTCCTCCTCCTCTCCTCCCTCCCTCCTCCTTCCTCTCCTCCTCCTTCCTCCTCCTCCTCCTCCTCTCCTCCTCTCCTCCTCCTCCTCCTCCTCCTCCTCCTCCTCCTCCTCCTCCTCCTCCTCCTCCTCCTCTTCCTCTTCCTCTTCCTCTTCCTTATCCTCACGGACAAGCACCCGCGAACGGGACCCCTGGTGCGGCCGGAATGGTCGATCCGATCGCTCCCTCGCGCCCGCCGCATTCGGCGAGGGGCCCCACATGAATTATACATTAATTAATTACTGGGAGGAGAAGGAGGGGGAGCATAAGGAGGGGACGGCCGCGCAAAAGGCGCAGCGGCACGGGCGGCCCGACAGGGGAAAAGGAGGAAGAGGGAAGGGAGAGGGGGACGGGGGGCGGAGGAGGTCGTCGGCGTGGTCGTGGTGGTCGTGTTGGTGGTGATCGAGGTGGTCGTGGTGGTCGTGCTGGTGGTGGTCGTGGTGGCCGTGATGGTGGTGGTCGTTGTGGTACTGCTGTGGTGGTCGTGCTGGTGGTGGTGATACTGGTAGTCAGTCAGCTGGCGGCTGTGGTGGCCGTACTGGCGGCGGTGGTCCTGAAAGTCGGCCGGGCTGGTAGTGGTCGTGCTGGTGGTTGGTCACGTGGTGGTGGTGGTCGGCGCCTATCTCACCAGGGCGCTCAGGATCATCTCCGCGCTCCCTTGTTGTAGGGTGCGTGAGATGTCCCGCCACTCCGGTCGGCATCCTCAAGAGAGGCGCCGTAGCTCCGAACGAAGCTTACGGCCTCGTCGGACGGCCGCCCCCCGGTCTCGAAGACCATCGGGACGAGGTCTAGGCCCTCCCGGGGGGGGTACCGACCGCGTTTGTCGTCGACTATCTGGGCTGCTGCGAGTCCGTCTCGTTCGGCTCGGGCGCGCCTGCGCGGGACGCAGGTCACCGCCCAATCGACAAAGATGGGTCGACAGGTGATGGGGTCGTGTGTCCGGGTGTCCAACCTTGCTTCCTGGATGACCCTGGCGCGGGGACGGCGGCGATCCCACGCTGGAACGCGTTGTTCCGTCGGAGCAACATGACCCGTGATATCCATGGATGCTTTCGGTCACGGAGGCGGTCGCGCCGGGCGGCGGGGGATTGGCCCACCTCGCACGGCTTGGCATGGAACCCGCGTGGGTCGAGGGGCTCTCCGCACAGCGCGCCGTCTTGTCGTCGGTGTTGGCAGCGCGACCCGGCGGGGCAGACTGGCGCTCGCAGCCGGCACATGAGGTTCACCTCGAAGTGGTCGTCTGGCTGCAAATGGTCTCCTGGTTGTCGGGGTTGGAGAAACGCCCCTGCGCCAACGCCGCCGCACTCCGGGAGCGCCGGCTGGTCGTTCTCAGGGAGCCCCCGCAGCAATCTTTCTCGGTTTTTCCCCGAGGCCGCCGTGCTCCACACGCCCTGGAGCTCAGTACGGGATTCCTGAAGACTGCAGGCCCAGTCGATGGGCTGTCCGTCTGTCGCCCCCGAGGCTTGTAGCGCTTGCTCACCTTGGGCGAGCGCTTGGAGGGTCCGCGGGCACAGCGTCCGGAACCTCTCTGGCGTGCTCACGCCCAGGCACTTCGCCACGTCGTGGAAGCAGAGCGCCCAGCCCGCGGCGTAGGCTGCCGGTGCGGCTTGGGCAGCGGAGGGAACGGCGCACCCTCCGTCTGCGAGGCGCATGGTGGCCTGCACCCTCTGGAGCTCGTCCAGGTGACTTCCGCGCAGAAGGTGTTCTAGGGCCGAAAAACACCACCGCGTCGAGCTGTTATACCCAGTTGCCCTGCACATTGGCTCGCAGGTGGCGGGTGACGCAACCTTACGCGAAGGTCCGTAGCAGGGTGAGGTAGGCCTCGGCGGAGAGCCCAGCCGCTCGGAGGTCTCGGAGCGTCTGGGTGAAGGCCTGCGCCCGTCGCACTGCCGCCGCGCCGTCTTCCCCTGCGCGAACCAAAACCCGCTTCTCCTGTTGGTCGAGCCAGGGCGCCGTGTTGCCCAAGCACTTTAGGTGGTCGACTCTGTGTGCACGGACAGCGTCTGGGAGGTCACCTGCTCTGTCCGCTGACCATGCCTGGTTTTTGCTCTCGTTGACCGTCAGGCCGTGATTGGCGAGGGCGTCGGCAACGAATTGTTTCGCCCCCGCTGCGTGCTCCGGGGGCGCAAACACCATAATGTCGTTCAGATAGGAGAACACGCAGCAGGCGGTGGAGAGGTGCTGGAGGCCCTGGTAAATCTCATCCAAACAGGCAGCC